AATAATCTTATTTTATTTTCGTATTTCAAAATGGACTTATATATTTTATATTTTATTATTAAGTCTCATTTTACAATAAGTATTTCAATTTAATCTCATTTCTTAAAAGGAAAAGTTTCTATACTTCCCCTACAACATATAAGATGCATGCTTCTGCTGTCATGTAGCCCTCCAATTTTGATCAAGTGAGCCAATCATCTAGATCCGACATATCAGAGTATTTTATTTTAAATTTTTTTAATACAAATTATATGAATACAAAATTTGATAAGTGTCATTTTATGATTGGGGTGCACCTAAAAAAATATTAAAACAGTTTTTTCGATAAAATATAATGACCAAACTCCAATTTGTATGTTAGTATGAAATCGACCAATTAGTTTTTTTGATAAAATATAATGACCAAACACCCATTTATATGTTAGTATGAAATCAAGCCATTGTGATATGATTTAGCAATATTGACACATAAAAACAAAACACCATATTTGCTAAGGGCCTCCTGTGCACATCCACTATCCTGTCATTCTCCCTCACCTGCACGCATCTATTTCTACTTTCTCTCTAAACTCCTATACCTATATCCATTTCTACCCTCTCCTTTATCTGAAGCTAGATAAATTACTTACAATATATTAGGTGTATTTTTTTTTTGTCATATTGCCCTCCTCCAGTATCTTAATTTAATTTTTAAAATATTTTATCATTTCATAATAATTTTTTTTTAGAATACATCTCCATTTACTATTTAAACTACAAATTAACGATATTTAAAGGTTGTGAATAAAATAGTTCACTCAATGTTTATGACCAATATTAATTCACACTATTAAGTTATTATTATCTGAAGCATGACAAGGCATATTATTAAGTAATAGCAATGTATTTTCCAAGTTGCATCTAAATACTACCCAGATAGTAACAATCTATTTGTATATAATGTATTGCACGCTAGCAATGTATTTCTCAGGTTGTATCTAAATACTACCCAAACAATAACAATCTATTTGCATGTAACGTATTACGCGAGTAATATATTTCACTCTACAATATATACAAACGACCTCTAAATCGGATATTTCACCATGGATAGATATTCTTTAAGGAATAAGTTTATATAAGGATGCAACCTTATAATGTAGAACTACGGATGCACTTCAAAAATCCATCGGATAAGGAAGTTTTAATGTTGAAAAACCATTTGATTGATCATCTCGACATCGAGATATATGAACATGAAAAATAAAAAGATTTTAAGTCTTAGAAATAGTACATTTTACAACATATTATCTACACCATCAATTTTCAAGATTTTCATCTGTTTATAGATCTACTTGATTTTAACCATTTTTTAAATTTAAAATTTTAGAATTAGACATAAAAATAGATTTTGAGGTAATCCTAAAAATATTTTACATCAAAATTATATACCATGATAAAATTTGAAGGTGCACCTTACCTCTACAGCTACGGATGCATCACTATGCCAACTGCACCCATTTTTTAATTGAAATTACTGTATAACTTGTTCAACTTTACGGTTTGGGTCCCAATGACATAATCTTTCTGCTTCATTGGAGTCAGCATATGGTATCTTTAGTGTCCAGTAGTAGAAGTTTTCTGCTTGGCTCTGCAATATTGCAATTGCCGGATCCCTCGATCGTCAAGTCTTTGGTGCTTGTCGTCCATGTTACATTCTTTGGTGTCGAGCTCCCCTGCAAGTCGAACAATTTGGACTATTCTTCACTTGAAGATTGCGTGCCAAGCCACTTATCGTGCTAGAACCTGACTCGATCCCTTCTGGAACCTGATATCGTCCATAAATGCTTGCCGGCAACTGTTGATCCCCTTCCGAACCTCGAAGAGTCTACAACCCTTGTTCTCATTGTAACAAACAATCCGAAGCCATCCACCCCCATGTTTTCTCTGGCTGACTTCTGTTCAAAGGTGCTACCTTTTCCTTGACAATGCTCCATCATCGTGGGGGTTGTGAGAGGTCGTTTTTTATATCACACGACACAAGAGATTTCAATCTAAATGATAAATTTATTTACATGGTAATTTTACAATAGAACAAATTAACATAGTAAATTCTAGGGAAATTTGCCAAAATACCTATAAAAGATTAACTATTCCATATTTGACCTTTTTAGACTATTTCAACTCAATAGCATGTGTTTTTTTTGGGTATTTTGAAATTAGATAAAAAAAATAATATGGGTAAAGTGTTAAATTGTCTTATACGTTATTCGATAAATTTCTTCAAAGTTTATGGACTGATTGCTAGAGTTTTTTTGGGTAAGTTACTAATTGGCAGAGTTACCGAAAGGAGAAAGACAATTGAAGCATAAAACCGTCAAAGTTTCTCCCCACGTAATCCAAGTTGCACCCACAGCGCACCAAGAAAATAAATTTTGTTACGTAGTAAAAACAATAAAATAAATTTCGTTACGTAGTAAAAACAGGTATTAGGCCCAGTTTGGATGGCCCAATAACGCCACGAAGGAAGAGACTTATTTAGAGTTGGAGAACAAATTTGTTTTCTTTTTCCCAAAACTTCTTTTTCAGTATATTCTTACATGGAGTTCTCATGTGAATAGTTGAGAAGATTTGATTGCTCCATTTTTTACTCCAAAATTTGAGGGAGACAGGGGAGGATGGTGGTGTTCCTCATTAAATAGTCCACTGGAGCGTAACCAAATGAAATGTTTTCATGTAACTAAACCAAATGAAATGTTTTCATGTAACTATATAATAATATTGGGAAAGAAAAACCATTTTTGTACATCTTTGGGCACAAAATTTATACATATTAGAGAGCTATGGTCATCTAATATTTATTGGATGATTGTTTATAAACCAAGAACAGTGGCATTAACAATGTCTGTAGGCCATAATTTGATGCATGAAATTGTTAATAGCTCACTCCCAACCCTTTGATCAAGATCTTAGATATCTTTATACACATACAAATATTATGCATTTGGGACATATGAAAAGCTTGCTCTTTCTAATTTTACTGACATCTCTCCAGCTAAAAATAAAAAAAAATGGAAATGAAAAAATGGGTATTTTTATTATTATTTTTTAAATGGTCTAAAGGAGAAGGATGTCCTTATTACACCATGCAGGGAGATGGTTTATGTATAAAGGGGTTAATGTCTTAAGAGAAGGAATAGAAGGGAAACAACTCCCAACCCCTCTATTGTTATAATTATCCTGGCCAATGCATACCTCCCGATTAACATGCAATTGCTGATAGTCATTTTCTCCTGTTTAGTGTTTGAAAACGGGATTGTCTACAAATAGATCATTTATTTTTATGTACACGAAGGTCACAATCATTATTGTCTCTTAAATTTCAAAAGGGGTAGTTGTATGAGTGTCATTGAATTGACATAGAGTTCTAAAAAAAATTTCCGAGACTTCGTGATTCACCCCAAGTCATCCAATTTGACATCTAATTAGTGGGAATGATAAGTTACCTCTATGTACAAAAGATAAATGGTCTCTTTGGAGAGTATTCTTTTTAAAACCAAACAATTTAGATTGAGATTGCCGATCTATCTAAACTAGATAAAGTGGATAGATGATTTCTTCATCCGAATTATCTTGATTTTATTTGTTATTATTACCGGTTCGGTCAATTTATGATCAATACAATGGTTAGCTCCAAAATCTAATTTCAAGTTTTAAAACACTGGTCAAGTTCAAGTTTGTTATTGTTTGCCGGGGAAGAGGAGCTCAAAAAAGGCTTATTTTTTGACCTATGAGGACAAGCTGGTTAAAAAACTCTACAAAAGTCTTCATGTTTTAAAAATGTTTTTAGGTCATGTAGTTTGTTGAGGTTACGAAGATGTATAGGATGAACTAGTGTTTTAAAACTCGTGGATTCCAGATTTGAATCGTTGATTCAAATGACGAATCAATCAGTTGAGGTTATGAAGACGTAAAGGATGAAATGGTATTTTAAAACTTGTGGATTCTAGATTTGAATCGTTGATTCAAATGACGAATCAATCAAACCTAATCTAATATCGATATGGTAGCTTGGTTCCCCAAAACCTCTCTTTTTTTTATTGTTTTATTTTTCTAAGCTTATCTAATATTTTTTTAGATCCCTTAAATCTGCATCCCAAAACTCTTATTTTGATTTTGATTTTATTTTATTTATTTATAATATTTTATAGATCACCAATTCAAATTGATCCAAACTGTTCGGGATTATCGACCTAGTGATCCTTTACAAATACGTGAGATGAATGATCCACTCCACGGATATGGATTTTGAAACACTCATAATGAACCTTTATCTACTTCATCCTCTATCCTAAAAGTATATACCTTTTGATCCACTACACCGATCTGGATTTTGAAACACCTGTAATGAAACTTTATCCACTTGATGAAGAATATATTTTTTCAAAGTTTTTTCATATTTCGAAGAAAAAGGGAGGGACCCAGAGTCTTACAAAAGGAAAGTGAGTTGATAGGGTTGCGGCTCTATCAAAATAAGTAGAGCCTCACCTCGTAACTCATCGAAAATTGCAATTCAAGCATCAGAAAACCTTTACCTCGATCATTTTAGTTTTAACATTATGGTTGTGAAAAAAATTAAAATTTGAAGTTTTAAAAATAGTGAATATTTTAACAAATTGTCTCGACCATCTATTCACCCTAAAACTAAATGTTCAAAAAGATCCATAAGATCTATAGGCTTTTTTGAGATTCAAATTTTATAGTAAATTGATTTTGCAGCCATCGTAGGAATTTCGGTTAAGTGCTTTTCAGACAACGATTTGAAGTGAGGCTTTATTAGGTTTTCATAAAGCCTAGACTTTAAATAAACTTGATCGCTTAAAATTTCATGTAAGAGGCGTCCCATACATACCACGGATCAATATACACGTGTGAATACATAAGAATTTGGTAGGGGATGAGGGACGATTTTATTTGCTCCTCTATTAGTAGCCGACCTCTACAACACATAGCGGCTCCTTTTCCTATACTTTCCTTACCTTGGTTTCTATGTTGTTTTATTCTGTCATCGCGTTTTCTCCTCGGAATACCTCTTAATTCCACTCCTGCCCTTCTCGTCTGGACCTTCACAGATAGAGAAGCAGGCCTTTGGTCTCTTATATTCAATTAATGTGGCTTATTCCTGGAATCCTAATTCTTGTTTTCGAACTATGATGATGAATTATTATGGCTCTTCCAGCACTGGTGATGCTCCCTCTGAAGCTTCTTCTTCTAATACCTCTTATTCTTTAGAAGGCCCAAGAGTTTACTTTGTGCCCTACAAGTAAGTATTGATTCGTTTCTTTCCCCTCTAATTCACAATCTATGAATTGTTTGTTGCCTGTTTATTCCATAATCTTCTGAATGATTTTCTCTGTTGAATTGCGAACCTACGTTTGCGTCAATGAAATGACATCCTAAATCTGAGAAACTCATTTTAGGGTTGACGGATCACAGCAAGAAAAGTTTTCCATCTTTTAACCTGGACTGTATAAATGGCTTCTCCTCTTGTACTTAAGAGATTTGTATGAAATGGATATTTCTTGGGTTTGTTTCTGTTATACGGCCTTCTTTTTTTGGCAATGAAGTCGAGTGGCGTTCTGGTGTGGCATCGTAAGTCATGCCTTCCAGGCTAGGCTTCCTCACTTCAAATTTGAGTGATGGGTGGCCATTGGTCATTATGCTTTCAGGGTTTAGTTTCATACAAAGTTACAAACACAGCGTGATGCATACCTAATTTAAGATTCTAAATGGGTTTTTGTTAACACAAGCCACATGCATTTTTCTTATTTAATCTTCTACTATCATTGATTTTAAATCACAGTCTTTTCTCTGTTATTTTTCTTGATTTTCTTATCTGGATCTATGCAATTGTACTCCTTAAACAATCATACTGGAGTCAGATAGCGTTTATCTTTTTCCTTCCTAATCGCCAAGTGTTGCATATGATTATTGTAAATTCAAGGTGGTGGAAAGAAGTGGAGGAGGAGTCTGGCCCCAATGAAGACAAGGATGAAAAGTTTGGCATTTTGTATACTGCATCCCCCCATTCGTATGAAGGTGCATCAAAGTACTTCAATTTCTTTAATAGTGACATAGTTTTTGATCTGAAAAGGGAAGATAATATCTTGTTCTCTGAGCCCAATGGAGAAGATTTCCTGGACAGGGACTGTGTCTTGCTATCTGAGAACATGTGGTTGAAGGCATTGAAATGGTAAAGACTGAATTGGGTTTACTTTCATTTGTATGTATTTCTCTGTCCGGTGTACTTTGTAATTGTTGTTCTTAATAATAAAGGGACTATGATTACAAGAAATATGCATCTTCTTGGGAGATTATAAGACGACTGAATCTGTTATACTCAATACTCGTCAAAGATATACTAATAATGTAAATCACAGCAGTGGTGACTGTAGTTTATAACATTACACTCATGCAGTTAGAGTACTTGGAATGTTATTGGAAGCATGTGTAATTAGTAAACTTTGAGCAATTATATGAAAGAGTTTTAAACATATTTTTTTCTTTTTTTTGGGGATTTAATATGCTGCGATGAATATGAAAGTTGCTATTTGTCTTTTTGTTTAGTGGCTTTGATAAGCTATTTTTGAAAGTATCTGTTCTGGGGAGATGGCAACTTCTGTTTTGTGTCGTATACTTTCTTTATGATTCTGTTAAGTAGTTTTGCTTGTATTAGTATGGACTACCTCTGAGCTACTATAGATACTGACGGACAATCTCATTGAACTTTATACTTGATTTTGATGAGATAGACTCTGTGTGTGTGTGTCTATTTAAAATTTAATAGATGTGAATTTAATAATAAAATTAATTATTTTTGTTAATTATGAAATTTTGCACTATCGGTTTACCTTATCCATTTAGATAGCTAGTGCATCAAAGGGGGACAAGTTGTGAAATGAGAGTGAGACCACGATTAACTGGAACATTTGGAAGAAGGATAAAGTTTCAACCTAGAATTCAACTGTGACAAAATGTTCTCTTGAAGAAAAAAAAAGAAAAGTGTGTTAAAATTTGGTAGGCAAATCTGGTCATGTCACCTGCAAAATGTGAAGGGATCTTCATGGGCATTCTGTTTGTGACCAAGAAGTTTCTGTATAATTTCTATTGCTATGATGTTGTTGCATTATAAATTTCTATTTCTATTAATTCGATTTGTCTAACTTTTTTAGTATTTTATTTGCAGGCATAAAGAATCAAAAGCAACAGCAGGGGATGCAGGATTCCTCTCTATGGCAGATGATGCTACCTTTGATGTTTATCCCTTGCAACTCCGTCTGTTTGTTATCCGAGAAGCAAATCTAATGACTGCTAGAATAAGCAAAAAGGTCTGCCGTACTATTCTTGCTTTTTGAATTTTTCTTGTGCTGGTCTCTGCTATTATGTTGATTCAGTTTATATTCCACCCATGGTTGTGTTATATCATACTTTATTTGTCACTGATATCATGTAAGGGAATTGGCAAAGGAAAAAGTTTATATAAGGTTGCAACCTTAAAATGTAGAATTACAGATGCACCTCAAAAATCTATCGGAAAAGGTTGTTTTGATGTTGAAAAACCCTCTAATTGATCATCTTAACATCGAGATGTATGAACATGAAAAAAAAAGATTTTGAGTCCCAGAAATAATGCACCTTGCAACACATTATCTAGACCGTCCATTTTCAAGATTTTCATATATTTATAGATCTACTTGATTTTAACCATTTTTTGACTTTAAAATTTTATGATTAGATATAAAAATAGATTTTCAGATAATCCTAAGAATGTTTTACACCAAAATTGCACATCATGATAAAATTTGGAGGTGTGCTTTAATTGGATTGTTTAAGGTTGCAACCGTATTTTATATAGTATTGTATATGTTTATATTCTGTATAAATGCAAACACGTCGTCAACCATCCAATGTCAGCAATGGGTGGTTGGGGGACATCATTTCTCCACTCAAAAGCCCGCAAAATATATTTTGACAGCATGGCATGATAGACAAATATGCACGAGTTTAAAGAGTACTGGAGAATATGATGGACTAGCAATACCATGGCAGATTCTTTTTTGTTATTGAGGCTATCTAATAAAACCTTGTTTCATCGATAAAAAAAGATAAAAAGTGCCCAATCTCGCGTGGAATGTTCCAATGTCATTGCATTATTGTTCGACACATAGCTAGAGGTAATCATCATAATTAATCTGATAATCTCTCTTTTTCTGTTTCTCGCCAAGCTCTAAAAAATTGCCCATGTGTGTAAGTTATATGTGGAACGTTTTATCGTGAGTCCTGTTCAGTGTAACATGGTCACTGGCACAAATATTGATGCCCTACATGTATTGTAGTGTCTGATATAGTAACTAGAAAATTGTTGGCATGGTGACCATAAATAGATAATATGAATGCAATATAATTATAATGTTTCCATTAAAACATAATAATACATTATAGTAGTATTACTTTTGTTAAATTTTTTTGAAGTTATGCCATAAATTTATTTATCTATATCATTAGTGTCTGTGTGTTTTGGGGGGGGGGGTCTAAGAAAGGTGGATAAAGGAGTTGGGTTGTGTTAGGTCGGTAGCCAGCATAGAACTTTACCACCTCTTATCATGAATCACGAAGAGGAACATGATTTAAGTGGCCGATCCCAAATAATTGGGATAAGGCTTGCATGACGATGATGATGATGATGTTCGTGTGTGTGTGTGCATCTGCATGTGTGTCTATTTGTTGGATCCCAAATTTTGCACACATCATCTCACTTAGGCAATTAAAATAAACATGAAAATTGAAATCATACAAGAATGGGAGAAAACTAGTCTGCCATTTTCAATGAATGCAGGTCGTCCATTTGATGGACAATGGATCTTGGCCTTAAAGAACTCGATCCTTTCTATTTATTTTTCTGAAAATTGTTTATTTTTGAATCAATGATATGCAAGATTTCAGCCCAAATAAAATTAGTTGTATACCATAAGGCCATATATCTTTGGTACAAGGAGGTCACAACTCATAGCTCTCACATGTCAAATCTGATAACTTGTGGTGTGTCACAAAGTTCAAGAAAACTTCTTTTGAACTTTGAGCTTGATCAATGGCACACCTGTACCTGCTCGATTTCAATTCTAATGGCCAAGGGTAATTGTGACCTCCTTGTGTACTAAAGATAAATGGTCTTAATGTACTTCTCCAAAATAAATTCCCTCTAACAATGTGTTTTAGCCAACAGGCTTATAGAATATCTTCTATGATACGAAGTTTACTACTATGATATGGTGTAGACTTTTAAAATTTAAGTAACACTTTATTCATACATAGAATTCTCAGAATATACATAACCAAATTCTATAAAATCATATTTAATATTAACCAGTTTACCCTACCTTGTTTATGGTATAAAAATTTTAACAAGTGGGACCATGGGGTAGCACTGATTACATAACATAGAACTTTGATTTTTAGCAGTTATTTGTGTTATTGGTACTGGCATTTATAATTATTAATGTGATGGAACCATTGGAACATCACAGCAGAGATTTGAACTTTACTTGGATGAATTTCAGCACACAGGTGGGCAGCCACAATTTCCAGTCATTGTGCAACATACTCATGGCGAGGGCAACATAGAACATTGCATAATTTTATTCTTTAGTTGTATTGGTTCAATTGCACTTCTTGAAGTATTCAAACATTTGTGATACACCTATTGGCTTCTCTGAACTTTAAATGGTTCATATCTAAACACATAAAGGTTTCGAAGGCTTGGAAGTATGTGATGTCCATATGTTTTGGCCCTTCTTATATCCTGCTTGTTTTGGTCTTCTTTGATATGTTTTAATAATGGAAATCAAGATGATTTGGCTCATGGCTGATGTTACTCTGACCTGTATTGATATAAGGAATTGTTTTACTGGGTAACTTTTGAATAAATTATCAAATTAAGACTCTTGCGGACCTTCTTTCCTTCTTGGAAAGAAATATCCTGGTATGAATTGAGAGTTTATCCTAGTTTAATGATATTGATTTTATCCATTTGTGATATTTATTGAACAAATTAGGAATCAAAGTTCTATAATTGAAATGTGATATAGAGATCTCGTTCATATTTTTCGTGCTTGTAATATGGCTAATCTATCCTTATCTGTTGGTTCTTTGAATAACGAACTGATTTATTTCTTTTAACTATGCTTTAAAAAAATGTCTCTCAGGATAATGCTGTATATTACAAGGCGGCCTCCAAGATTTTTAATTTTGAAGATGAACCTGTATGTTTCTTCATCTTAAATTCAATTTCTTCCTTGTTTCTTGTGTGCTTTAGAGTTTGCCGTTGGTTTCATGCTATGTCTTGGTTCTGGAACAGATGCGAATATGGGATTATTCTGGGCAGACGGATATGTTTTTCAATAGTGAGGGAGATGAGGTGCCTAAGCATTCTTCACGACAGATGGATCAAGAGGTGACCACCAATCTGACCTTATGTTTTCTTTGGTAATAGATGTTTTCTACAGTAACATAGTAAACTGCAAGCTGGTAACTTGGAGATGTGGCAGTCATTTGGGACTTTGAGCCTACCTTATATTTTCTGGCTCATCATTCCTGCCATCCTTTCACAGTCCCATCTGATTGTATTACTACATACTTGCAGTATTGCTGTGCATATATGATTTGTAACATTATGTACTCAATGTTCTATTATCTGGAATATGTTTCACATTTTTGGTCCTCTGATGGAACTGAGAATCTAAACATGGCACCATTTTGATTTGCTTCTGTTGACATTGCTGTTTCTTTTGTTGGTTCTGCTGTTTTTGTTTGTTATTTTCTTTCTGAATATATCAATTTTAATATTAAAGATTTTGGTTGTCGTCGTTGTCATCATCCTTTTTTTTATTTGGTTGTTGTTGTTGCATGAAACTTTATACAAGAATTTGAATCATAACTTCAGTATTGAGCTTTCAGGTTAAAGGTTCGTTGGTTACAAAATAGATTGAATTACTTGGGAAGAGCTTTTTTTTATATTGATTTATTTTTTCATATTTTAATTTGGTTATTTATATATGGGCTATGTTACATAGAAATTGGGACGTGTGTTTACTCGTGACATAGATGCAAGTGTCAAAAATGTGAATCCAAAAAAAGACATCTGGACACGATATGTCTATACAATATTTGGGTGCCTATGTATATGTGCATGTCTACATAGACATATATTGAAATTCATATGTAGTTCACAGTTTCATTTACATATTCAATAATTCATATGTCATAACAATAGTAAAGCATCAACTAATAATTAAATTAAATTAATGGTCCAAAAAATGTTACTTTGTGAATCATAATTTTATTCGTCAAAAATTTCTTAACACTCCAATGCAAGGTGTCATAACAATGTGAGAATAAACGAAAAGCTATTAGCTAATAAAACTATTAGTTAATAAATTTTTTTTATTGCATAGCTATTGAATAGGGTTCTAATGTATTCATCCAAAATCACATGATCGCACCACTAGCAACCTCAATATAAAAACGGCATTTCTAAACAAAGAAATGCCAAATTCCAAAACCGAAACGTGTCAAGAAAAAGGGACCCACCATTAGACACTCCATAGACGTGTCATATGCATTTCTAGAAATTTCGACGCACATGTTTGTGTCCACCAAGTATTGACTCGTGGGCAGACCTCGGACACATGCGTCCATATTTCATAGCTTATGGGCGAGGTTTGTATAAAGTGCCCACCTTTTACTATGCAGGTAAGGCGCAGCATTAAAGCTTGCCGAAAGATTTAGTTATCGGAAACTTTATGATGGTTTGAAAATCCATGTTCAACCCTTTTTATGAAATCTAAAATACTTAAAGCAGTGTAAAATGAGTATTATCTATGAACACTTCAAAATCTTCAACATAGACGTTCCAGATAACTTGTTACAAGATGAACCATTTTTAGGACTTGAATTTTTCTTTTTTTGTTTGTATCATACATCCCCAGGTCGAGATGATCAATTGAAAGGATTTCCAACTTCGGAACTCTCTTTTCTATTGGATTTTTGAGGTGCACCTTACTTTTATAGTATAAGGTTGCAACCTTATATAAACCTTTCCCTTGACTTGACGAACCTGACTCAACTGGACTCAGGCTTGTCGAAAGTTCAGATCCTGAGTCTTCAATCACTGTTGTAATTGGTAGATGGATTTTTAGAACTTGCCCAAGTTGACTTGGACTCAGGTCAGGTACTTGGGCTTGGCAGCCTGCCAAGCCTGGAACAAGTACATGTATGTACCCTGTATAGTAATTGGGCAACTATTACACATATGCGCCTTACTACCATGCAAACTTGGGCCGACTTGCTCGAGTTTATGCAGTACTCGAGTGAGTTGCTGCAGTACTTGCTTGAGTGCTAAAGTGGAGACCTGGTTCTTTCTGTTACTGTGAAAAGGAGTAATTTGTGTTTTGGGTGAGGCTGATCTTCTCTTTGAGCTCATGGCGATGAAACAGTCATTGTGGGTTCATTGGTTAGATTGGTACTTCACTGTGTGATGTCAACCTGATTGAGGAGGGGAAATTCCTGTTTTGGTGCAAAGGATGACATGAGACAGCCGAAGTGCATCCATATTGAAGAAGACCCTGTCGGAAACCTAATTCCATATAGATTTTGCTCTTGGGAAGTACGAAAATGTTTGTAGAAGAGTTGAGTTATGTCCACAGCAGTTGCAAGGGCCTGTACATGTCTCATTTTAGAGGGCCTGCACAAAGCTGATTTGAGCCAACTTTGTGCCTTTAGCAAGGTTTTTGCCTGATTTATCTGTTAGAGATTTGAGAGAAAGCCATCACATTTGTCGGATTTGAGTGATAAAAAATTTCTGCTATATTTTTTCCCGATTTCAAAAAAATTGCGTTTTCTTTGCCTAGGATGGCTGTTCTTTGATGAAATTTGATATCTAAGGCTATTGTTGTGTTCCATATCCAACCATTGGCTTAATTTTCACAAAACAACACAAAAAATAGGATTTAAGAGATTCCAAATTCGGATATACTGTTCATCAAGATTTTCAAGAGCTCAATTTTCCTAGATTAGGACTGTAATTCAGATCTAGTCTCGTGTTCGATTGGGATTGTGTGAGTAAGCTTTGACAAGTATTTGAGGCTTCAATTCGCATTCAGCTCGAATATTGGGGATCAGCCTTGAAATTTTGTTTATGTCTTTACTTTTCTAATTGAAAATTATAGAATTGGTTTATTTTTGACGAAATCAATTATAACTGATTTATAACATTTCCTATATACTTTTACATTTTTTTATTTTTTTTGTTCTTTTTTTCCTTTTTTTGTATATTTTCTGATTTTGGCAATCTGATAACTTCATTTTTTTTTTTTATTTCATTTTTTATATACTTTTTTGTTTGTCTCTTTGGAATTTTTTTTTTTGTGCTCTTTCCCTGTGTTTTCTCATTTGCTGGTTTTTTCATTTCTTGGTCCCTTTTTACCAGCTCTAGCAGGACTACGACAAGTTAATCCAGACTTGCCCAAGTTACTTTGCTCGGCAAGGGGTTGAATACCTTTGACCGAGTTGTAGAATCGAATGGTTTTGGCAATTGTTTAAAAACTATGTTTACTCATATGTCATAAAAATAGGCTCCGTGCATAATCATCTTTTTATGGAGCTAAAATGATGCAGGACAAAATTGTTATAATTGTTAATTTTGCTTAATTTCAAAAGATGTATATTCTGATTTTAGTTTTAGGATTTGCTTTTCGGGCTAGGGGTTTTAGGTTTTAGTTTATTTAATGTTCCAAGGTACTGTTCATGTTATTATTCATGGCTACTGTTCACATATTTCTATTAACAGGGGTATTTCAAGAATTTCAGTATTGTTTAGGACTATTTTAGAGTCTTAAATGTTTACGTTGGTCTCAAGTTAATTTTAGGGTTTCATAGGTTTATAAAAAGGTTGAATGTCAAATTTTGGGATGCTTATGTTATTGGAATGAATTTTAGTTTATGACAGAAGAAAGTTCTTCTGTGGCTTGTTTTACAGCCATGCTTTTTCTTTATTATTGCTAATTTTTAGTTGTTTGGGGTTTGGGAAACAAGGTAGATTTAATTTTCCACCTTGTTTATAGTTGTAAGGTTTGGGAAATAAGGTGGATTTAATTTCCCACTTTCCTTACTGTATCAATTTGGTATCAGAGCACAATTTTCTTTAACAATGAAGCAGGGAAATTACAGTTAGGTCTAAGGTTTGCTGATTTTGGCCCAAAATTTACCAAATCAACATGGATCTTGTTGTTTTCAACAAGTTTTTATTGATTATCTATCTAGGACTTGTGATTTCGACGAACCCAGGGTAGAGAGAAAGAACTGTGGAGGGGGATTTTATAGCCCCACTTCGTGATCTCCGAGATGAAGAAATTGATGAAATTAAAAAGTAAGTTTAGAAGCTAGCGCAACAGTTTGCGAGCATTACTCATGGGCATGACAATGATCTTTCCGCCCAAGAAAATGTCAAGTATCACCCTTTTCATTAGCGTACTCCATGAAAAGAGTTGAGGAAAGAAGAAAGTGATAGAAGACCTAGACGTGGGGAACATCACTCTAGGGTTTTCAATTTGTAGGGCATTCTTAATTTTGACATAGTTCGTATCGAAAATCAGCAGGTTGTAGATTGGGATCTTCCACCCATCTTCGATACATACGTAGATGAAGAATAAGATCTTGTAGGAGATCCAAACTACAATGATGATCAAGATTTCGTGGTTAAACCAATCTTTGACGAAGATAAAAATGATGATCTCAAGGATATTGAAGAGGTGGAGTATTAAAGAGATTTAGGGTATTGGAATCAGTATAGCACTGTAGAAGTGTGGTCTAATAAACAACAAATTGTGGCCATGGTTTTAGAGCCTAATGAGATAGATGTCAAGAAAGCCTCAAAGACTGGAAAATTGAGTTTGAAGTTTCCTATACAATTTTTAATATGCGTTTAGGGATAGTCAAATTTGGTACGTTTATATCAATTCCTTAGTATACTTATTAGGATCCGTTTCTTGGGGATTTCTTCTTACTACGAATAATATTTGAGCAGACCAAGAAGGTTGAAGAAGGCGATTTTGATGCTAAATTCATCTTAGCACATTTTAAAACTTGAGGATGAGTATTCTCCAACTAGGGGAGAATGATGCAAGACAAAGTTAGTATAATTTTTAATTTTTCTTTAATTTCAAGATATGTATATTTTATTTTCAGTTTTAGGATTTATTTTTTGGGTTTTTAAGTTTTCTAGGGATTCTAGGGTTTTTTTATTTATTGTCACAAGTACTGTTTATGCATTCATGCGTTACGGTTTGCAGGGGTATTTTTGAAATTTTATAATTTTTTAGGGGTATTTTAGAGTCTTAAATGTTTACTTGGGTCTCAAGTTACTTTTAGGGTTTCATAGGTTTAGTTGGATGTCAAATTTTGGGATGCTTATCTTATTTGAGTGAATTTCAGTTTACGAAGAAAGTTCTCTTGTGTTTTACAGCCGTGTTTTTTCTCCATTATTGCTGGTTTTTACTTTTTTGAGGTTGGGGAAAAACAATGGGTTTAATTTCCCACCTTTCCTTCTTGTATCACTGAACATGGCATACAAAGTATGACCCTAGGTATATCACTCATCATTATCCTCAATAAGGCGTGCTAGTGATTGGTCCAGTCATATGAAAATAAGATGTTCAAAAGATTCAATGTTAGTCTATCTGTAATCAACTATCAATTAAACTAATGCTGATTATTTTGACTGTGGCCTATAAGTAGCACTTTCTAACTCATAATATAGGAGGAGGTCGTTCCGCACTGTCTGACATTAATTACATATTTCTCGATAGCTACCAAATTCTGAGAGTCCGCGAAGACTGAGGACCCAGACATTGGACATGCTTGAGTTCGACTTGGCTCATGCTTAGAAGTTCAATTTGCAAAAATTGTAAAGGAATGGGCTTGAGAAAATCCTATAGAGAGCTGAGGTTCCCTAGTGGGTTGCCTGAGTCCCTTAGAGTACTTTCCATGTCTTTTAAGTGTGGCTTATCCTTGCTATTACGTGCCCTTTGGAGCTGCTGGAATCTGAATTTATTTTCCAGTTTCCAGTGATTTTCTTTTGTATTTTTAGTTTATAGGAGGTGCCTTAGCCGTTTCTTCAGCCCCTTGAAGCTTGTTCACATGTTCCTATTGCCAGTTTGTTCTTGGATTTCTTTACTGTTCTTTGAAATTTGTTAGAGTGACAATTTTGGCATCTTCTTATTGTCTCTACTAAAAGATTTAAACTGCAGGCACGGAGTACTATGTTTTTGAGGATTCCTGATCTTTTGTCAATATGCTTCTGAAACCGTTCTTCTAATGGTTCTTGTTGTGGTCTTTCTATTCAGATGCTTCTGGAGTTGCAGGTTTATGGACTTCCAGAGCTAGTGAAAAGTAAATGTGAAGGAAAGAAAGATGATTTAGCAATTCAACCGTATAAATCGGGATTTTCTCTCACAGGTGGGATGTTTATGGGCAATGGAAGCATAGCCAGTATTGATACGGATTTCGGTCTTGCAAACCCTTTGAATTTAACATTCAGTGGAAGCTCTGGAAGAGAGGGTTCTTTGGGTTTGACAGGACTGCAGAATCTGGGAAACACTTGCTTTATGAACAGTGCACTTCAGTGCTTGGTGCACACACCAAAGCTTTTTGAATACTTCCTTGGAGATTACAGCAATGAAATTAATCAGCACAATCCATTGGGCATGGACGTAAGTTGTCTTGGATTTATGACATTATATTTTGGAGCATTTCATTGATTGACCATTCTAAAAAAAAAAAGCATTTCATTGATTGAAACACTTTTTGTAGATATGAAGATGCATTATGCTTTTGCACGTACTTTTTGGTTCTGGTGCAGTTGTTGTTTTACTTGGTAGGAATGTATTGAAGTTCTATCTCTAATTTTTACTGTTTCCTCACTTTTGCCTGTTTTCTTAACAGGGGGAGCTTGCTCTTGCATTTGGACAGCTAGTGAGGAAGTTATGGGCTCCTGGGAGAACTCCAGTTGCACCGCGAGAGTTCAAGTCAAAACTTGCTCGTTTTGCACCGCAATTCAGTGGCTACAACCAGCATGATTCGCAAGTTAGTGATATTAGCCTTGTTAAAAGCTCATTTTTGGGATTAGTTGTAGTAAAATTTAAATTTCTTCTTACTTTCATCAAAAATAAAAAATTCTTCTTACTTTGTAAACTTATGAATTTTTGTTATTTGCTATTTTGGTAAGGCATTTGTTTATTTGTGAGTGTTCCCTCTTTAGGAACTCCTTGCTTTTCTGTTGGATGGGCTCCATGAAGATCTAAATCGTGTGAAAAGCAAACCTTACATAGAAACAAAGGATGCAGATGGTCGACCAGATGAGGAAGTTGCTGACGAGTATTGGCATAACCACCTAGCCCGCAATGACTCAATAATTGTTGATGCATGCCAAGTGAGTCCTGTATCAGTTATCTAATGTGCTTGGGTGGTATGTTTTTATATGTTCTATGACAAGTGCACGTCACTCTTCAACTTTGCATAATGTATTGCAATAGAATTTGATATTTTGGCTCCAATAAAATGTTACAAATGTTGTACTCTCACTTTTTGCCTGGTTAGTAAGATTTGGGCTTCAGGTTTTCATTTGTTTCAATGTGGTCTTGCTTTCTTTTGAGAGAAAATCTATGGCCTTTGCCATCCATTGTACACCATATGCATAGTCTCTTAATTGGACAATATCTATGATGGGAATTCTGGTTCAGGTTGTTGCCCGATATGTTAAGTGTATAGAGGGAATGGGAAGGTGGGTGTGAGCAAACAATAAGAGAAAATGCATGCTCCAGGTTATTAAGTAGGAAAGGTTGAAGTTTTGAGCTTTAAGATGCATGGTGCTACAATTTGTTGCTGGAAATGGTGGGCTGTGGTGGAAGGAGAGATAGTGTGGATGTAGTTAGAGGAATGTCACTTGGTTTTCTGTTTGAGGACCTGGAATTGGTCAATGTACCCAGATGAAAGAGATCTTCAGGATAGAAGACCAGGGTGGTCATCTCTGAAAATTCTGTCATTCTAGTGCATTATGCCTAGGAGTCACGGAAATACTGTCTAAGGGTTAATATAATCGAGGTCCAACTCGAGTGAATGTCATAGAGGACCTTGGGTTTGTCTTGCTGCGGTCAATACACGCCCACTATAGGCCTGACCATGGCCAATTTTAGAAGAGCAGCCTAATAGTCTCCATTTCCCTCAAATTTGGTAGAGGAACATATCCAAACTTCAATAGCCTGTCTACAAAATTTCAGACTGTTCGAAGTATCATTTGGTATGATATTCAATTAGTTGTGGTCAAAATAGCCCAAACTATAGCCCGTACATAAACAACTCTAGAAAGTGACCTTCCTTGAGTCTGATCAATCTGAAAATTGGTGCTTGTGCTAGAGGAGGTCCCAAAACATATTGCACCAAAATTTTAGAGTTCCCCAGCTATGAGAACGAATATTGATTGTTGGCTAGCACATGACAGTGGCGAAAAATCAAAATCGCCATTTTATAGCTCTGTTTGAGCTTGAAATTTATTAAGTATGCTGAGAAACATCTCGGAAACTTTGGACACCATTAAGGGCATCTGTCAAATTGATCTCCAGTCAAATGCCAGGAAGAGCCGCCTGACTGCCATTAATTTTAGAAATGGCCAAAAGCTGGGATTTATGATATTCTTTTCGTGTGAAATTGGTCGAGATGTGGTGGAATGTCTCAAGAAACTGCTCCCCAAAATTAATGTAATTTAGACACCATTTGACGAATTTATGATATCCACATCTGCCTCGTCTTAGTAAGCAGCTTGACTCTGACAAAGATCGAATGCTAGGTTGTGGTCAACAAACCACCTTAATGGTCTGATCTTGAGTTGAAATTTTGCAGGTTAGTAGGTAAATGTCTGAAGACCTACAAGCAGTCTCTTAATTTTTGACCATGCCCAACTTTTGTTGACCCTTCTTATGACTCGTGATTTGGGCCAAAATTTTGCAGGTCGATAGAGGATTGTTTTAAGGACCGTTCCAACTAAATTTTATGCAATATGGACTCTATTTAAGGGTTATGGTGCATTCTTTACTGCTAGAAGGTGCTGCCTGACAACGGCCAATTTTAAGGGTAATATATCTCCCAATTTTTGGAGCTATTTTTTGGGATCCTTGCATGAATGGGAAGCTCTTAATGTGCCTTAATGCCCTAGGAAAGGATTGGGCTAATAAATTCTCATTTTTTAAATGATTTCGAGAAGAAAACCTCTGCTTTTTGCAGCCTACTCTTGACCACAGCCAATTTTCGATCTCTGAGAATCTTGCACCAAATCCGGTTAGATAAATTCAAGATTGTTGGAGAATCTTTTCTAGATAGATATTAACTATTTGGGAACAAATCCAAGCTATTAGAAGCCTCGGATATGCTTGACCCTGATGATATTTGAAAATTCATGCTTATCGTTTTGGAGCATCTGATGGACAAGCCCAAGATGTCCTTGGTATTTGAACTTGGGTTAACCATGGAAGGGCAAGAGGATGATTCTTCATTCTTTAAATCAATTTTAAACTGATAAACTCAAGGATTCAATACACACACCCATCATTCGGGTGCCCCATCTCTTTATCTTATTATAGGTTTATAGTAAATTTGTGCAAAGCACCTCCAAGCATGGGGGTTGCCTTCTCTCTCTCTATCACTTCTTTCCTTTTATTCTCTCCGAATACCTCTTGCTTTCACTTCTCTCCCGCTCTTGCTCTCTCCTAATATCTCTTGCTTTCATCCTTATCGCATCGCTCTTCTGCCTTATTCTCGCTGTTTCGCTGTCTCCCTCTCCATATACTGTCTCTAGCACGAGTGGCTGAGTACCTGATGTGTGACCAACAACTCATTTTTTTTAGTACTTTTTGTTCATTCTGTAGAATTTTTTGTATAAGAGCACCCCGGCTTGTGGGCTGCCTTTCACTCACTTGTCCTGAGGACCTTTGTACTTAATTACTACTAGCTAATATATTGTCACTAATTTGCCAACAAAAAACCAAAAACAAACCCTCAAGGATTCAAATAAATAATCTACATGTGAACATTGTTGCATGCTGACCAACAAATTTGGGAGAGGCATTTTTCTCAATTCCCAGGGATTTCCCTGAGGTTTTCAGCAGTGTTACCACGACTCGTGTCTACACACGTTGATATATGTGGGGATTGGAGACATTCAAGTATTAGAAAACTAAGCAAGAGGACATTATTTTTTTTTTTCATTTTTTTTCTTTTGGGGGTGGGGGGGGGAGGGTGCTCGATCTTACCTCAGTTTGAGCTTGTCTCTTTCAAGCTACTGTTTCTCCACCCATCCAGTTGGTTAGGAAAAGGGAAACTATATTTCACATCATAAAAAATAATATTTTATCATGTCTACTCGTATTGACATTTTAGATCAATATGCTAGACATCTGAGGCACTCATAAACACTGGTTTTTGAACTAATTTGAAGCACATTGGATGCCCCATTTATTTGACAAAGCATTTTGACTCCAAACCTTCATATTTGACAATGATTTGTGATCGAAAATCACTTGTATTTTTAGAATGCCACCTGAATGTGGCCAATTTTTTGAGGAGCTTGATAGTGCAAATGAAGATCGACTTTTCTTCTAGTTTATGTACATGATCTTGAAGCTCTTGAGATGCCTCAATCATTCAAAAAGTATTGGGGTTGACCAATCTTATATGTCGGAGTGATCCAACTTGAAAAATGCTCGTTTTCAAAATCTTGCCTGCTTGAACACGGCCAATTTGCGACTGGGGTTTTTAATTTGAAATTCAACTTTTGGAATTCAAATGGATAAACATCGATCATTGGCGTTTGTATGATCTTAGCATCATTGAGTATGGGATTTGAATGGTGAAAGATGTTCCATCATCCAAATCAATCATATATTTTCTGAACAATCCTAATAATCATATAAAAGGGTTGTAAAATATAAACTTCATTTGAAGAAGATGAACATTTTAAGAGGATTCTCTGGCAAGATGTTTGTAGAGCCTTTCCAGAATCCAGGAAGAACAGAGCATTGATCAAAACTTATTGGTAAGAAGTTGAAATTAAGGAATCATCAAGTGCAGAGAGAATAGCAATTTGGTGCAACTTCATCATACTTTGCAAGGTATACAGATCAAAGCTTCAAAACCCAGCTCAAGAGTTATTCCAACTGTATTAAACAGTTTGGAATCTTTGGATGTCAACGTAACAGGGATCCTGGAACTCTTGTTGCCCAGTAAATCAATTCAAGAAGGCCCAATATTTATATGATCGTGACTGATTTTGATTTTCATTTTTTTATATGATCGTGGCTGATTTTGATTTCCATTTTTGTACTGTCTCTAGCTTTCTTTCATTTGAGTCATTTCTTCTTTTATTTCCTTTTGATTACATTTTTGGTGAATCAAGAAGTCACAGGATTAGTGTGATATCCTAGTTTCTTTGAAATGGGTTCATATTTTTTGGGTATGATATTCTTACTGTCGGGTCCAGAGTTGAGGAAATAGATTATGGTAGTTAGGGCTATGTGCAAGAAAAGGTGATGAGAGGAATGCCTTTTATACTGAGCAGATGGAGTTGTTAGATTTGCAGTTTTGAGTGATCATTTGTGTTCATGTGAGGGGAGATCCTAGAAAAGGATGGCATCTTGCGTAGGCTTTTGAATCTTCTTCAAATTGTAATGTGAGAAGATCTGTGGGAGGATCTATTTTATTATTCAATCCAATGGGGTGGAGGATGGGGAATTAATCAACATCTATGACTTTTTTTTACTGGGGTTGACATTTTTTTAGTCCTTGCTTCTTACTTCATCTTATTTGTGTTTCACTTATAGTTGATTGTGGAATTTATGGCAGGGTCAATACAAGTCTACATTGGTATGTCCTGATTGCAACAAGGTCTCAGTCACTTTTGACCCATTTATGTACTTATCTCTACCTCTACCTTCTACCACAATGCGAGCAATGACAATTACAGTGTTTAGCTGTGATGGCAGCACTCTGCCAATGCAATATACCATCAATGTGCCTAAGTTTGGAAAGTGCAAGGATCTTATCCAGGCTTTGAGCATTGCTTGTTCGTTAAGGAGAGACGAGACCCTATTGGTGGCTGAGGTATGCTGTAGTCTGTTTAATAATATGATGTCTTGTTATTGTCGAACTAAAAGTTGATGTTGCAGGAATTACATTTAGCATGAATGTTTTGTATCAGTACTTCATCTTTTATTGTTAGAATGCCTGATTAGCCTTGGGTTCTTGCAGATTTTCTCGAATAAAATACTTCGCTTTCTAGAGGATCCTTCTGATTCAATCTCCTTGATTAGAGATGCCGACATGCTTGCTGCTTACAGGCTACCAACAGATCTTGAAAAGTTTCCATTGGTGGTGTTCATGCATCAGCGTGATGATGAGTAAGATTATCATGGCCATACTGTATTTTATGATGCTTATATTATATTCTAAGGTTATATTTTTCTAGACATGTTATTATCACCAGGAAAAGTCACTAAACTTGAGACAAATTACATGTCTAGCTTGGAGTTTAGAATCTGTAGTATAGTAGTTCGGAATGATATTATGAACATACAAGTTAATGCATTTTATTGTCCTCCCTGTGCATTGAATGATTCCTTAACCATAACCAGTGTTACAATCTTGAGTTGTAGAGAGTTTTCAGATCAAAGGATGTTGGAAAATATGGAGAAGAATACAACTTTAGCCATTTTAAAGTGAATGAGAAATTTAGGAGTTTTGAAGTGAAGGGTTATTTTAACATTTACTCAGTTGGGGAGCAAAAGGAATCTGGTTTCATTCTTGTTCTACCCTTTTTGTGATGTCTTAATACTTTCCATGAGAAACTAAGATAGGAAACTGGTGTGGCAATTCTGTACATACCAACTACACTCCTCACCCATAGGGATACGTAGGTTACAATAACGAGATGAGTGTTTCCCAATTTGATGTTACGTGAGATTCTTTAGCGCAAGTCGCAAGAAATAGAAGCAGATATTCTGTGACCTTAGTGATAGAAAATAGTCATTGGAATCAAATGCTAAACATGCAGTAGAATCAGTGTTTTGTCTGTAACCATGTGAACATTTTTTCAATGTTCTAACCTGCGCATCAAATGGGATCGATTGCTCTTCTCTTGTTCTCTCATAGCACAATGTAATTGGTCACTGCTCACCAGATCCAGGCCATCTGCATACCCCATTCCTCACGTTGCATGCATGTGGCCTAGCTTTACCTATTGGTATTAGTTGGTTTCGGAAGTTGCTGTAACATGGGTTAACCAATTAACCGAAAGTTTCACATCATGTAATTCATACCCTGTATTTTTTGGGTACTTTTCTTTTGAGAATGATGAAATCCCCTAGTTGTTTCTCATCTTCCCTTGTAGCTGCAATATGTTTGCAGCTGATTGCATTTTGGCCAAAATTCCTTCTGAGCATGCTTTAATTTACTAAGATTATGATTAAAGGGGCCTGTGAGGTAACTTAAGATCACCAAAATCCGAGCTCAGGGTATTTTAACCCAATAAGCATCATAATTGTCAACTATCCAAAAGCGAGATATTTACATCTTTCAAAAAAGTAAGAAAGGAATTATGTACCATTTCTTTTTTGATCGAAACTGCATTGCTGTGTCAGAGGAGGGATAGCTATACTGATTCGGTGTACTCTAAATACACCCTCGGTACCATATTGACGATCTTACTAGGATAAAAATAAGTAGTTTTCCATTTAGGGGTCGTTTGGGTACCTAGAAATATATTGTCTAGGAAATATATTACTGGCGTAATATATTAGTAACGTAATATATTATTTGCAAATGGATTGTCACTATTTGGGCAGTATCTAGATGCAACTTGGGAAATACATTGCTACAGTTTGGCTATGTCTAGAAGAAATCTGGAAAATACATTATCACCATTTTGGCTAAAAAAATACTGTCTTAATTTTATCGGCGTAAGGTGGTTTTTTTGACATCTTAAAAGTTTATTCCTTCTCTATCTGGCCATAAACTCTCAAATTTACAGGCACTCATCATCAAATTTTCTCTCTTCCAACTAATTTCTCTCTCTGAAATCTGCACGACCATAAACTCTCAAATTTACAGGCACTCATCAACCAATTTCTCTCTTCCAACCAATTTCTCTGTCTAAATTCCGCAGGACCATAAAATCTCAAATTTATAGGCACTCATCATCAAATTTTCTCTCTTCCAACCAATTTCTCTCTCTAAAATTTCCAGGAGCCAATCATCAGAATCCCCTCTCTGACCATATCCCATTATCTCTATTTCAATTTTACAGCACCCATCTTCATAATCTTCTCTCTGGAACAGTGGCGAAGAAGAATAACCTGTGCATCACAGTCCCAACCTTCACCAATCGCCCAATTTCATTGGACATAATGAAATCACCTCTGAGCCTATGCACTGGCATCACCTACTCTTGATCGAGCATCCAAAAATGGCTTGACAATGGCAACAATATTTGCACTGCAACTAACCAAATCCAGCAACAATATTTGTCCTGCAAATTGTGAATAATCAGGATTTCTTCGTGGGTCCATGGACCAGGGTGTTTTCTAGGGTGAGGGGGTTTTCTAGGCTGGAGTATGGAGTATCCGTTAAAGCAACAGTCTCAGGGAGAAGACCATGGCTTCTCTGCAGCTATCCGTCATTAAATCCCATAAACTTAGCTTCATTAAAACCCAAGTAAAGGTCTCTAAACCCCATCAAAAACCCTAAACCAACAAAACCCATATCCAAAAGGTCTTACATCAAAACTCCCCAAAAGAAGAGCTCACCCTTACGATCCCTCTAGGACTCAGATGATGGATCCCTCCTAAACTTCTTCATGGAATACAAGGCCTGAGCAAAGAGCTCCGCAACATGTTGTTGAGAATCAAGGACCATCTCTTTGTGGGTCCATGGACCAGGAGCTTTTCTAGGGCGAGGAGAGAGAGGGCTCCGGCTCTGCATCTCCTTCAGGTAACGAGGAGGAGAAGGTGGGAGCCGTGAGAGCCATGGGCAGAGAGAGAAGATGGAGACAAGGGTTGCATAGAGAGAGAAGATAGAGACTAGGGTTGGGTAGAGAGAGAAAGAGGAAGCGAGCTTTATTTGTATTAGAGGAAGTGCACACAATGGATTCCCTGTCAGGCGTGTAATAGATTTTTTAGCCCTTCCTGTGCATAATGGGTTTCATGATTTTTTGGAAAATATCGGGTAATCTATTTCCATTTCCTTATTATTAAAGTGTACCCAAACAATGTAAATCTCATATTTTCTTGTAATCTGTTTTCATGTAATAGAGGTACCCAAACGGCCCCTTACTGATCACTATCTTTTACGAAATCGATCCCTATTGAATGTACAAGAATATATGAAGTTGAGCATGTTTGGAAGTACAAGAGAACGTTCTTTGGCTGATATTATTATCAGTATTTGATACTGGGTCATTCATAGCATTGTTAGACCTTCCCTATTCATTGCAGGTTGGTTATTCATTAGAGAGGCTTTGCTTACGATGTGTTTGGAAGCCCTCGACCGAACAACTATTTCACAGAGAGCCGACAAGGGATTTCATTAATAACTGGTCGTTTCGATTCATTGGAACGACTTGATGAATTTAGTAGATCCTTTTAGGAGGTCCCAATAACCATAGATAGAACCTATCCGATTTTTCTAGTGAGATGGTTGGCTGTTCACTGGCTAGCTATACCTCCCGTTTTTTTCTTGGGGTCAATATCAGCAATGCAGTTCATCCTTCATATGTCATGCTTTTGCTAGTTATTATGTAATTACAGGGCCTCACAATTCTCGTACTCTATTCAAGTTTGTAATAATGCCAAGTACATATACTACTGTTTTTAAGTACATATACTACAGTTTTAAGATATAAGTACATATTCATGAACCTTATTTTCCTTAATGAACAAAGTATAGAAACCATACTGTTTGTAAGCGAAGCCTAGCTAACCTGGGGTACTTATATAGAGTCGATTGAACTGCATGAAACAGGACACAAATGGCTTCACTATCAGAGTAAATCTGCTTTAGATTGAATTAGACTGGTTGCACTGCATTTTTCTTCTCTTATGATTTCTTTATGTACATTGAAAATTTTGTTCTATTATTCGTAGCTTTTATGCATTCCATGTCTGATGTCTCTAATCTAGAGGCAAATTTAGTTGCCTTTGGTAAGTGGCAAATATATTATATCACCCCCAATTTCCCAAAAAAAAAGAAAAAAAGAAAAAAAAGGAGAAATAATGTCACCATGAATGCAGGTTTTCCCGGAGTCACTGGATATCATCTGGGAGGAAGTTTGGTATTCCATTGGTTGCTAGGCTTAAAGGCATCAATGTTTCTCATATTTGCCACGCATATCATAAATTACTTAGCCCATTTCTTATATCAAGAGATTCGGCATCACAAGGTTCTGACACAGAGAAGGGTGCATGTGAAGAAAATAGTACTCTGAGAGAGAGTTTTAATGGCTCCTCCAAACCATATGAAGGGATTGGCAATGATAATACATGGGATGATCATTCATATCGTGATATTGAATTTGAATTTTATCTGACAGATGAGGAGGGTAGACCAGAGCGTGTTGCTTTGGACAAGAGTAAACCGGTTCAGGTCACAAGTTCCAGCCAAAGGCTGAGAGTGCTTGTGTGTTGGCCTGAGAAAGCACCTGCACTGTATGATATCCCTCTTTTGAATACATTGCGAGAGGTGTACAAGCCTGTATTCTTCATGAGGAGACCTGAAGCAGAATCTATTTCTCTGAATGCATGCCTTGAAGCTTTCTTGAAGGAGGAGCCATTAGGGCCCGAAGATATGTGGTCAGTACATTATCTCTGTTGCTTTATTTTTCAAAATTAACCGTTCAACGTCTTACTTGTAGTAGCTTCCTTTGGGTTCTTGTGATCCCACATGGTTGGGCATGCAGTTTGGCATGAATGATTTTGATCATTCAGTAGGTGCTTTGGCACCTATATGATCCTTAAAATAAGTATTAAAGGAAAGCTCTGACACTGTTTCTTTTGAAGGTACTGCCCTGGTTGTAAGGAGCATAGACAAGCGAGCAAGAAATTGGACTTGTGGAGGCTGCCCGAGATTCTAGTTGTGCATCTGAAGAGGTTCTCTTATAGCCATTACATCAAGAACAAGCTGGAGATGTTTGTAGATTTCCCCATACATGACCTTGACTTGTCAAGCCACATTGCTCGGAAAGAGTTACAGTCATCCACTCATTATGAGTTATATGCAGTTAGTAACCACTACGGAGGCTTGGGCGGAGGCCACTATACGGCATATGTCCATGTAAGTTATCTTTATTGAATTTCAGTTACATATCAGTATTTACATTCAGCAATGGAAGATCAAGTTTACAGATTATCCTGTAACATTATGCTAGAAAAACGGAGTACTGAATGCCCAGCGAAGAGAGAAACTTCTAACTTTAAAGCCTCTTTTATTACTCTGTTTTCAAAGTATATACTTGTCAATAAGTGGTTTTGCTTCCCTTGTAATGTGATTGTGGTTGGATTTTTGCAGCATTCAGATGAAAAGGGATGGTATGACTTTGATGACAGCCGTGTTACACCTATTACTGAAGACCAAATTAAGTCATCAGCAGCATATGTGCTTTTCTACCGAAGAGTTGGCGCTATTGAAGGTCATACATAGTATTTCAAGTTTGAAGTCATTTTCGACACTGAAAGGCTGAAATCCAAACTAACAGACGACAAGTTGGAGAGAGAGAGAGATTATCAGGTGAAGCTTTTGCTGCATGCTCCTAATTCTGTCACTGCTGAAATATCCCGGTCGAGGCTGATGGTAGTGAATTAGTCACATAAACCATTCGGGGTTATTTTGAGAGATGACAAGGTTCAGTTCATAATACAGTCCAATTGATATAGTGGGTCGTGTACCTTATTTTGGAGGAAGCGCACCTGTCCCTGTTGCCGGTTTTTGAAGCAATGCTAGTCCCTACCAATTTGTATTTTCCTAAATTCGGGTTTCTCATGTAACCATTTTTGTGCAAATTCAGTGTTAATTGTTTCCCTCTTGTGTATACTCTGAATATAAATTAATTTCTTGGGGAAAACAAGTTTTGACGATTTCTCGAACTTTTCCCTCTCCTTTTATTTAATTAAAGGAGACCAGAAAAATCGCATAGGAGACAAAAGCACCTTTAATATCCCCTTAACTATCCAGTAGCAAAGTTTTTCTATTTCTCTGGGTAAAGTAGAGACTTCAATTGATATCAGTAATTTGAAAAGTGTCCGGATCAGTGAATTGGCAGTTTGGTTCGTTGTGCAAAAAACATAGTGAACCGCTGAAAAAACTTGTGCAAAAACAATGAACTGGTAAAAAACGGGTTTGGATCAGTGAATCGGCATTTTTACTATAGCAAAATGCCATTTTTTTTTTAGCAAATCGGCAGTTCTTTTCAAGACCAAGATTATTCTTTATTATATTGATAAAATCAGCACGCGGTGACCAATTTCTAGATCGGACCAAGTGATTCCACGCCGACCTGGCGTTTTTTAAATGACTGAAATTATCTTGCAGGGTGTGTGAGAGAGGTCCATATAAAGTTCGTCTTTGAGAATGTTTGAGAGAGTGAGAGGCGCTGGTCAAAATCCATCAGAATTAAGAAATGTGGTCCAAAATGTCTCATTTTCTCGTCCTTTGAGATGGAATGGGTTAAGTCCAAAATGTCTCATTTTCTCGTCCTTTGAGATGGAATGGGTTAAAGGACCCGGTTTTTATGCGGCTAGGCCCACGTATAGAAATGCGAGTTTGGTAATAAATATATTTTTAAATATGATTTCGTCTTAATTTTTATAGAGTATATAATAGGTCATGAATATGAAAAAAAAATTTGAAAATAAAATATAGTAATTATATTAAGTTAGTTACAATTGTTTTTAGATTGACCACCTATTTGCATCCATATTTAATATGGACGCTTTATACCTCTGGACCGCATATTGTAGAAACGTGTTCCAGCCCGCAATTTTTCTGTAATGGAACCACACTTCTAGAAAACTATGTTTGTGACATTTGTATGATTCTAAATTTTGCGCATACTCTCTTCATCCCAATAAT